TTTTTTCAAATTACTTTTTAACTTAAACGTGATTTTTCTCATTTTAATATTAGGACTCGCTGATTCTTGAGAAGAGTCAAAACTGGAGTTCTCAGAAAATGGACCATATTCTGATTTGCTGTGTTTGTCTTGGAGATAACAGTGAGGATGCTGATGAAATAATTCAGTGTGACAATTGTGGCATTACAGTTCATGAAGGTAATTTTGCTTTGCTTTTTTTTGGTACCAGGGATCGAACTTGGACCTTGTGCTTGTGAGGATGCTTTGCTTTTATTCTTTTGGAAATGGCTGATCAACACTACAGTTAAATAAATAAAATCAGTTCTTTTATGTTTATGCTATCCTAAGGTTTTTTCTCTAATATTTCATGATGCTTCAATAGAATAATATATGTAATATTGTTAAATTATGTTATATTTTTCAGTTTATCTTAATATGCAAAATGATATTTCTTTAAACACCAGTGTTATGATATTTTTCTTTCATATCATTTATTTTTAGTTTTTAAATAAAATTAAAAGTAGGAACAAAATCTAGAGTGTTATAGTCCAATAGACAGTATTAGTAAAAAATTTGCATTCTAGGTGTAGCACTACTATACATTTTCTTCTTTTGTAGTTGTACTTTTTAAATTTGAATTTGAAAGAATTTATAGAGATCATGTTTTAAAATCTGAAATAGCCACTCTTGTGAAAATTGTATGTTAAAAATATTCTTTTCCTCATAATTTTTGAACCTTTTTAATGTTTCATTTTTACTTCAAAAATTTATTATGACATAATTTCTCACTTATGGGAGAATTATAGGAATAATACAAACAATTTCCATATATTCTTCAGTCAGATTTTCCAAATAGTAACATTTTATTATATTTGATTTATCCTTTCTATCATATAATAATATTTTCACTTCAGTGTTAATTGTAGACATAGTATTGCCTTCTCCCTCTCAATACCTCTGTATGTATTGCTTAAGAACAAGGACTTTCTCTTACTTGACCACGTAATTAACAGCCAAAAAATCAGGATCAGTGGAAGACTTATGTAATCCACAGACTATATTAGTTTTCTCCAGTTGTCCTAGTATTTCTCATTTCTAACAAAATAAAATTCAGAATTATGCGTTGCATTCAGTTGTGTCTATTTGGTTACATTTAATCTGGTACAGTCCTAAGTTTTTGTGTTTCACACCATTGGTATTTGAAGAATATAGGATAGTTGTTTTTTTCTTTCTTTTTTAGTAAAATGTCCCTAATATCAGGTTTTCACATGTATTTTCCCATGAGTAGATATAGGTTATATGCTTTTGCCAGGCAAGTCACAAAAGTTATGGTGTGTTCTCAGTGCATCATATTAGGAAGCATTATTTGTTTCTGTAATGACCAGTGATACTATTTTGATCACTTGGTTCAGAGGTTCAACGAGTATCTTCCTGGTTTCTCTGTGGTAAAGTTTTGTTTACTAGTTAAATTTTTCCTGTCAAGACCATGATTACCACAAAACAGTCTCTGTGGCCTTGCTCTTACCTTTCTGGTATTATACCCTCTTCCCAAGTGGCAGAGGCTATAAGGATGCCCTTTTGGAGCTTAGAGAGATAAACTGTAAAGAAACCAACAATCAGGTATGCAATTAGGCCAATAACTATCAGGCCAGAGCTATGGAGAAAAATAAAGCAGATCAAGGAATAAAGGAAATGCTGTGGATAGGAGTATTTGGGGGAATTGACAGAAGTTTGTATTTATAAAAGACAAGAAAGGAAAGTCCTATGAGGTAACGTGAGAGTTGAGCAGTGACCTGAGGGAAGTGAAGGAGAAAGTCATGAAAATTTGGGGATAGAGCACTCCATGTCAGAGGACATGGCGAACACTTGGACCTGAGGAGAACCATGAGTGATGACCTGAGAAAAATGTTTCAAAAAGTGAAAGTGTGTAATCGTGTCTAATAATGTTTTTTAGAGTTAGATTAAGAAGTGTATTGTGGGAAATTACACTCATTGAGTGGTAGCCTCTTAAGTAACCCACCAAGCAAGCTATCCCAGAGGTTGTGGGAAAAGATTTACTGATAAAAATGCCTATGTCACATGATTTAATAAATGGATATAAAATACAGAGAGAAGTAAGGGCAAAAGATAGGAAATAACATACTTAGGGTAGGGTACAAATAGGATAGGTCACAGAAGTATATACTTACTATCACTGCTTATGTCCTGTAGTTCACATAAACCAACCTGTCATACATAGGGGAGGCATTCCAAGACTGCAAATTCCAGGAGGTGTTGATCCCTGAGGGCTATTTGAAAAGCCTCTTCCACATAAACAGAGACTGTATAACATGTTGTGTGCTTGTGGAAGTGACCGAGTGGAAAGGGAGGCTTGACAGTGATGTAGGAAAGAAAGGGCAGCTGTTGCTGGAGTCAGGGTCTTGAGCACAAGGTTAGAGGGGATGACATTCAGCTCCAAGAGGACAGATTAAATGGTTAAGAGCCATGGTAACTGTAGGGAAAAAGAGTATGTGTTATGGATGTAGGCTGCTTTTAGATGTGATGTTGTTGGTAGAGGCAGAAGTTAGTTTTTGAATGTTTCTTATTTTCTTAGTGAAATAGAAATCAAACCATTAGCGTAGTGGACATGAGGATGAGTTGGGGACTTGGGGAGAGAGAGAATGGTAAAAAAACAGTTTTTAGGAAAGCAGATAGACTAAGGAAATACATAATAAATATATACACATGCATATCCATACATGTAAATGTACCTCTATATATGTACATATCTGTATGTCAGAAAGCAGTAAGGGGTCACTTGGTATTCGTGGTAGTGTATTTAATATTAAGAACAGTCAGTGTGGTTGTGCATGATTGTCCTCATTTGGATGGAAGCTTGGTCACTGGTGTATCAATGTTGAGGTAGAGCAATTTTTAAGAGGGGGGAGCTGCTGGAAGATAATTAGGTCATGGAGGCTCAGTATGGGACTGGATTAATTTCTGTAAAAATGGTTTGTTATAAAGCAGGTTTGACTCTCAGCTCAGTCACTTGACGTTGCACCCCCTTTTGCACGTGGCTGTTCCCCCCACCACTTCTTTATCATGTTGTGATATAGCCAGGGGACCCTTGCCAGGATGTCAGTGCCATGCGGTTTTGGCACTCTTAACTACCAGGATAGTGAGGTAACCTCTGTACATTACCCAGTGTCAAGTGTTCAATTTCAGTAACACCAGTTGGACTAAGTGTGTTTTTTCTTCCATGTATAGTTCAGATTCCTGGGAGCAGATACAGAGTAAGGGAATGTCAGACATGGCATCAGTGGCACTTGTGCTTGTTGTATTGATCACCACTAGTGGTCACAATCATGTTATGGCTGCTTATATCCATGAATATCATTGCTGACGTGTGATGCAGGTGTGACCATTGCTGTTAGTGTTGGTGACTTACGCTGACGGCTCTGCCTCTTTTGCTTATTTTACTTCACTGTCACTCTGAGGGTGCTATCTTTATTTCTTAGGTCATTCTTAGTTGAACTTGTTCAGTCATGGTCATTGCCCATGGATGTAGTATTTAAAGGCCAGCACATTGATTTTAAGAAATTGAATTAGTTGCTAACATTTAAATACTGGGAGATCTTAACACATTTTTGATTTTGAATTTCATTTGAAGAATTCATAGTTCTGGTAGCACTAGGTTTCACTCTTATGACAACAGTCTGCTGGAGCTGAATAGAATTGCCTCTGGTGAGGCCTTTAGTGTATAGATCACCACACTCCTCTCCTAAACCACTGACTTGGTTTTGTTAATTGTCTGATCTCTGGTGGTATTTCGTTTCAGTGTTTCACATCTACAATAGTAAAGCAACTCCTTTTCTGTATAGCTTCTTCCTTTAGGATTTGGGGGAGGGAGGGTGTGTGCAGAGGGAACTAGCACCATTTAAAATTTAGAATGAGTCCTTTCCCTGTCCTCATCAGACGTGTGGCCCTGAGGCTATTACCTTAGGATGAGTTCTTTCCTAGTAGATTGATCCCTCAGTGAACATAGGTTTCTGGAAGGGCACCTCATTGGTCCCACTGATAGGCTTAAAGATGTTAAAGCTTCTAAATAGACCCTTGCTTCAGGTGTATAGCCTCAGTGGAAAGTCTATTTTCATTCTAAGGTGTTTTTTTTTTTAAACAATTAAAATGTCTTTTTAAGTGAAGGCAACAATTAAGATGATTAAGCTGAGTAGTAATATTTAAGTAAAAATGAAATTGTGTCTATAAAGTCATGTAACAACTTTTCTTGTATTTAGCTGTCTGTGATGGTGGTTCAAGTTTCAAATATTTTTGAGTGTTTGCTGATGATCATTCATTTTATTGCCCAAAGCAATCCATTTGAATCAGAGTCCTGTTTTCATGGAAGGAGGAAGAAAGGAAGACAAGCAAAGGGAAAGTAATGTTTCTGAAAGTGATGTTTTTAAGGTTTTTGAAAGCTAGCTAGTATGTTACTCATTAAATAGGGAAACTGAATAGTTTTTTAATTTCTTTAGGTGAATCTTTATGTTTTATAATTAATTTGTTGACTGTATGATTAAGAGTCCTAATCTGAAAATTTGAAATGCTTTAAAATATTAACATTTCAATTTTGTTTGGGTTTTTTTTTTTTTTTAGGTTAATGCAGTATTTTATTTATCTTGTCCATTAACTCACATTTGAAAACATTTTCAATATTTAATTGAACTTTAAGAGATTAACTTTCATATTTTTACATCTTACTACTGGGTATTAATAAAAGCAGTAGTCAGTATAATTACAGTTAAAATTATTCTGTCAAAAACTTAGGAATAAATGCTTGGTGTTGGTACGTTTACACACAACTCAATTTTTGGTGTAAGGTTATTTGTTTGAAAGAAAAAACATTTGGGTTACTTCATTAATAGGAATATCTCAGTGCTGGGATGGACTCTTGGTATTTCTTCTCCTATTGATTTTTAGCATAGTTATCTGTGATTGTATGAATGGAGTTGAGTGGAGAGGTGCTCATCATGTTAATTCCAAATAAGAGCACATAACGGATTATTATAGTAAGAAGGAGGTAGACAGGCAGTGCAACTGCCCAGTACTTTTGAGGCCAATAGGTTAAGCCTAAGGAGAGTAGCTAAGATTCAGGAATGAAAGCCCACACAAGATAAAGTATGAAGCCAAATTGAGAGCTTAAGTACAAAGCCATAAATCGC